TAATGGACAAGAAAATGGAAACTACTATAGTACATTGGGGATATATTGGGATAATGGAAAATAAAATGGAAACTACTATAGTATATTGCCAGCACTTTGTCTACGAGCACTGGCCCACATCATGTCCAGTGCCGATTACTTGTCAGCTTCAGGATAAGCACCAACTCAGGCGCTGACGCTTCAATTGCTTGGCAAAGTGGCCTAGGCAGCCGCAGACTCACAGCTGAGCATTAATCCAGATTGGCTACCTACGTCTTCTGATGGGGGCAATGAAGGCGGGTCTGCCTGTTCCGAAGCTCCAATATATACCCTATTATGCCATAGTAGCATCCATTTTTTCATTATCCCTACATATATCCCCAATATACCATACTAGTTTCCATTTTCTTCTCTATTGTGTCTATATATGTATATATATATATATGTGTGTATAATCTCGTTACGCGGCTTTGCGTCCAAGCTGGCACCACAAATGAGCCCCGGCAGCGTTGATCGAAAGCAAGAGACAAGCATGCAGAGCATGGCATAGTTTTTGCTTGCCTAACTTAGGGTTTAGGGTTTAGGGATACTGGAAAAGAAAACAGGAAACTACTATAATGAGGTTATATAGGGACTCTATGAAGGTATATAGGGTTTCATAGGGTTATCTACGGATAATGGAAACTACTATAGTATATTGGGGATATATTGGGATAATGGAGAAGAAAATGGAAACTACTATAGTACTCTGGGGTTAGAAATAGCGATCATGACGATAGTATATTACTATTGGAATAGGAATAGGTATAATGGAAAAGATAATGGAAACTACTATAGTATAATAGGGCCGGTACATATTGGGGTTATAGTTTAGGGTTCCGAGTAATGTTGGCGGCTCGTAAAGCTGCTGCACAATCTGAGGAGCAAGCGCTGCAACTGCTGCAACGCGTCGCTCAGAACCCTGTCCGCGGCAGACGCTGCTTTCAATAGCGAAGATTATCAAGCCCACCTGAGAACCTAGTATCTAGTTCCAATGCTTTAAAGTAGCCACCGAGGTGGGTGTCGTGTCATGGCGACTAGCTGCTGCAAGCGCCAGCACGACAAAGACTTCTCAATCAACCAGAAATCGCTGCAAGTGCCTTAGGCAAAAAACATGTGTGATGTGCACGCAACATGGACGACAACATGATATGGTAGTTTCCCCAATAACGGGACCCCAATATAGACCCTAACAACTATAATCCTTATGATAGGGACCCCACAAAATGGTACCCCTAATTTTGGAAACCCCCTTTTGCAAATGAACCCCGCTGGCCACCCAGCGGCCTGGGGCAAATGCAGCCTCCGCGCCATAGGCCCAGTGACCTCTACATGTCATGCTTGGGAACCCCTAGGCCGGGCTAAGTACAGTTCTCGCTACGGGCACGACTTTATCACAAATTACAACAAAATGCTAGATCATGCACACGATCTTTCCCGTTGGAGTATGTGTTGTGCTCTACTTGATGGTTTGATGCGACTTTTCAGGTCAGGATCCGACGTCCCGCAGCCACGGCTCCCAGCTTGGCGTGCCTGCGTTCGCACCCGTGAAGTGTTTCTGAAGTCTTCCAAAATCATGCTGCGCACCAAGCTGTACTCACTATTTAAAGCTAGGTGATGCTGGGTGATTCTTGCGGTTCTTGCCAGGAGCTTGAGGCCCGGTAGCGTACACTGCTGTTGGGAAACGGTACCCCTTTGCTGACATAGCTCGAAGTAGCAACACCACTGATCAAACATGCCCAAGTGGCTCCCAGAGCCACTGCCACCGCTTTCAAGATTTAGCGGTCCAGTGCCTGTCAGGGCTGTTAACGTGGATACTATAGTCCCATAGAAATGGAGACGAGTCAATGGGCAATCAACTGCTGGAAAATGACATGGAAGCTTACATTATGTAGGAGCGTTGCCATGGAAATTGGTCACTGTACAGTTACAACTCAACAGGCCTCTGACATGCAGAAAGGGAGATCTGAGGCAAAGTGGCGAGAGAAGAGGCTACCGAAGCAAAGTACAGTTGTGTTTGCCTCTGGTAGTACATGTTAAGCACGTGCAGAATAAGTCAAAAGAAAACAAAAGGAAGGCAATGATCTCTTCCAGAGAAATCAAATTCAGTGAGTGAGTACCGGCGTTTTGCATGCGGCCTGTTGGTGCTTGGTAGATGATAGGTCGCGCATCCAGTTTCTTCTGGAAGTTCCTTCAGACTGAGATGTTTTAGGGCTTCGGGTTTTGTGTAAGTATAAAGCTGACCTACTTCTGCTCAGCAACAGGCTGCCTGTTCCAAACTCGTGCATGCGGACCCGACACCCAAAGCCAAGCAAATCAGCGGCAGGTCGGAAGAATGCGCATCCTGCAACGCTTCTCCAGGTAGTTGATGCGGTCCCACAGCTGGGCCACCTTGATGGAAGACATCTCCCCTTACCCCAATACGGTTGCTTAGAGCCCAGGCTCAAACCTTCGGCTCAAGGATTGTTCAACGAACTTGTTTTTTGTTGGAATTCTTTGCGGGATGAATCGGAGCTCAACCAGTCTCATTACTGCCCTCCTTGGCAGAACCAAGGCAAAAAGTAGGCAGGCATGAAAAGAGATCTCGATCACTCAGGGTTTCTCGAGGCCTGGTGCCAGAAGACACGCACAAAAAAACACCAGCCCATCATTCTTGCCTACCATCTTGCAGGCTGAACCTATTTGAGTCTAGCAGACCCATGTCAAGAGTCCTGGTCTTCTGCAATCCCTATGAGGTCCTTTTCAAAAATGTCGGGAACCCCCGCAAGCTGTACCAGGGAGTTTGCATTGGGGGTTATATCTAGGGGGAGATGATGGTTATGTAGGGATAACGGAAAAGAAAATGGAAACTACTATAGAAAATGGAAACTACTATAGGTTTTAGGGTTTAGGCCAAGTAGGCCCTAGAAACAACCTTGGTTGTTGCCATGCGAGTGACCTCAAGTTAAGCGTAAGTAGCGCATCCAATGCATATCCAACGAATGACAGAGGTTCATGGTAAGATTGTATGTCAATTTGAAATCCTCTACAGAACTAAGAAACTCCTACAAATTGCCTGGGTTGCTGCTGAGGAACTTAAACTAAGTTACCATAATGGGTATAAATAGTAAGTACTAAGGTTTCCGCAATATAGTAACTTAAACTAAGCTCCTAAACCCTAAACCCTAAACCTCTTAACAGCAACCCAACAAAGTGTCTTTGCAGGGCCTCTTCGTGTCCGGCTGTTTCCGGTGCCCCTGCGCCTTTGCTTGGGCGACCAGGCCTTGGACTACAAACCATATTACTAGGGTTTAGGGTTTAGGGTTTTCGGTTTAGGGTTTTGGGTTTAGGGTGTCGGGTTAAGCGTTTAAGGTTTACTGTTGATACTAAATATCCTGCGTGACCTTAGTATAATATAGTACCAAAATTCCCAAGGTATAAGGCACTTAGTACTACAGTCATACTATTATTATTACCAACACTAGTACTGCTACCATTGGTTTTACTTTTCTACTATTGTTTTCTACTATTACTATTACCAGTACTCTTACTATCACTATTGCTTTCTGTTGCTATTGTGAATACTATTACCATTTCATTCTTACTATTTTTAGTATTACTATTCCGATTGCTGTTTCTACCTACTGGCACTATGGTTCTTCCTAGTACTTTTACACATCCAGCCAGACATGTAATGACACTTGTTCTTCCGGCAGTTGGAAGTCACATCTAATAGCTGCTTTGATACTAATACTATAAGGGCCGCGTGATTGGCGGGCCCTGTGAAATTTGAATCATGCTACCTCTGCTGTGCAGACTTCTGTTGGCAAAGCTGCAGGCGTCATCACCGAAGTGGATTCCAGCTGGTCCAAAAGGGTGTCTGCAACCTTGATACGACTACTCAGCTTGCTAGGCTTGCTGAAAAAGGGCACGAACATGTCAAAAGCAGCTTGATTTGTATGCTGAGCAATGCACATCACTGCCAACCACCTCGAGAACAGAGCGCGAGTAGCAGGGAGTCGAACAGATATGTTTGCTAGAAGACCTAAACCCCATCATCTCCATACAACCCCCTAAAACCCCCTTTGAAGGGACCCCTAATTTTGCTAGAGGACCTCTGGCTTCGGAGTCGGCTCCTGCTCTGCTGCTGCCGATGGCGAGCCCGCCTAGCACGACACGCGGTTCCAACCCAGGCCATTACTTCTCCGCATGTTCACCAGCTCAAGCCTCCTCCTCAACTTCATCCTCTTCTTCTAGCAACGCCTGGGTACGGCGCACAACAAGCTTCAGCTAGACCGCACAAACATCTCTGATCTCCACCTGCATCATCTTCACAGCTCCAGGAAAACTGTGCACCCTGGCTCGCCACTCGCCGGCTGAGCTCTTTCGCTGCGGCGTCGATGAAGATTTGGACCTCAACGTTTGCTTGGCCGCATCCAGCCAAATTGGGTTCGCAACTGACTCGGACTCCGGCAAAGCGCGTTGGATTGTAGGCTGTGCTTCTGCTAACCTCCAACAGCAATCCTTATCCGCACTGCTGTTACTTGCGTATACATATTTTATTCGAATGCATCAAATACACAGCAGGCGCACACCTACTTCTGCAAAATGGCATTGCTTGTGTTACAACGTGGGTCCACTACTGAAGCTATGAATCCAGGTGATGCGACATCAGAGGTTGCCAGCATCATACGAATGAAGTTCAAGCCCCTTTCGTTCTATATAAGGACTACTGGCCTATACCATAGGGGTTATTTAGGAAGAATGGAAAAGATCATGGAAGCTACTATTTAGGGTTTAAGGGTTCATTACAAGTATAGAAACCCTACATTGTACTGCAGGGCGCACTGTCGGCGAAGCTCTGACAACTCCGCCTCAGCCTGACAGAACCAAAGGTACTTCTGGAGATCCAGGCCGCTTAAAGGGAGAGGGCTGCAACTAAGGTTAGAAGTATGGGCCTCGGGCCCTGAGGCCTTAATGGGGGATTCTGTGGTCCCCTTTAAAGGGTACACATAAGGTACATAGGGATCCCAGGGTTAAGGGCCCATACTAGGGACCCATGGTGTCAACCTTCGAAACTGATCAATGCAAGCCTGTCCTGCCTGAGCACTCTGCAACATTGTCACCCTCGTGCCGCTTGATACAACTAGAAATAGAAATCAAAATATTAAGCATTATAGATAGGTAGCATGATAATAACAATAACTTGTCCTAGTAGTGAAAATAATGATGCCGTAACAAACGACTGTACTACAGAATTTGAAATCCTGAAGCCGTATGAGAGATTCCCCCGCCCAGTAACAGTCTGTAAAAGGGGCAGTAATAATGGCATATATAATTGTACTATAAGAATTATCTAACTCAATAACAATCTGTAGTACTTGAAGGCTTGAGGGACTTAGTAACAATTTATAACTGGGGTTATAACCCTACTTATAATTGGGGTAACCCCTACAAGGTCATTTTTTGGGGGGGGGTCCTAAGAAGGGTTACTAGCCCAGTTATAAGTATTTACTATTTCCCATGAACCCTAAACCCTAAACCCTTAGTAGGGGTAATGATCAAAGCCTGCTGGCTCTGCTCCGCCATGCTTTGCTGCAAAGCTCGGATCAACTGCTTGTGACCTTGCAGGGGTTTATATAGGGTTTATATAAGGTTTAAAGTTTCCTAAAATTAGGGGTACCCTTTTGGGGCCATAACCAGGACTTTAGTATTTTGGGGTCTATATTGGGATCCCCCTATAGCTTGCTATCATTGTAGTTACTACTACTACCTTCACTACTAACATTGCTATAAGTTTTACTATTATTATGCAGGACATCTCAGCTACGAGTTCTGAAAACCAATATGTGGGCGTTTCCCTAAATTATGGGTACCTTTGTTCTGGGCTCCAAAAATAAGGATTATAGTATTTTGGAGCCCCCCTATTCATGGTACCATAGTTTGTTATGATTTTCTTAAACTATTACTAAAAAATATTGCTAGTCTTATTCTTACGGCTATGTCCATCATCGTGCAGGACATCGCAGCTACGAGAAAGGCATTGCAATACATGCTTAGCTGCCAAGGGCGGCTCTAGCAAACCAAGAGAGACACAATCCCAAGCAAAGTCCTAAACCCTAAACCCTAAAACCTAAACACTGAAACCCTAAAACCAGATTTTCATTTCATTTAAACTGTGGCTCCCAGGACGCCCCCTTTCCTTGTCTGGCACCTCCACTACTAGTTGCTTCCCGTAAAAGGGGATCTCAACATAATTAGACCCCGAAATACTCTGATCCTTATTATTGGGACCCCTAAAACGGAAGCCCCAGTTTCATAATAGTAGCAGTAATAGAAATAAAACTAGCCATAGCAATAGTAAAAGTTGTAGTAGTAGTAGTAGTAGTAGCAGTAGCAGTAGTAGTAGTAATAGTAATAACATGACCGTAGTAGTAAGAATAAAAGGCTGAGGCCAGGACTCTCGCAGCTCGCTGCTGCATCAGCAGCCTGCTGCGACAGCTGCTGGCGAGCCTTCCGGCCCGGACGAGTTCACACACCGTTTTCCTCAGATTATAGTATTTCGGGGTCAACCTATTTATGGAACCATAGTTTGTTATGATTAGCATTACTAATACTATTGCAAAGCGATGATTCAAGGACAGAAAAGTCGGCCACAGCCATGACAATGCTCATGATCACAATTAGAACTGGCAGTAAGATCGCGAAATAGTACTGGCAAGCATCATCATCACAGCAACCAGGTCACAGCTTCAAATCAATGCCTCTCTGAGCTCAAGCAACTCGGAGGACCACCTTAGCTGCAATCTCCTTACTGGTGGTTACTAGGGAACAAGGGAATATGACCCCAATTCCCTACTAAGCACCAGTAAGAATCTCTGGTCAAAAAAGTGGTAAGTTGAGCTGCCACACTAAAGAAGGCCGCAGCGAACAACGGGCTGGGGAGCGCTGCATTGCAAGCACAAGAACTCTTACTATTGGTATTAGTAAGTACTATGATACTATTATACTACTTTACTACCATACATTATTAAAGAATAGTAGGGATTACACAGGGCTTGGGGGGGACAAATTTAGTCCAAGGCTCATGTGGACCCCAATATAGACCCAAAAATTCTATAACCCATTATGACCCTCATTATGGGAACCCCTAAAATGGCACCCTTAATTTTGGGAAATTCCCTGCTATTGCTATGTCACTCTGAGGGCAACCTTGGGCAGCTGCAGGCTACGGAAGCTCCAAGGCACCCGGCGATGAGCTTTCAGCTTTAGCTGCCTCCAGCTCTTGCCGCGCTTGCGAGGCCTGGCGCAAGCCAGCAATAATTAGGGGTCCCTTTAAAGGGGGTTATAAGGGTTATGTAAGCGTTATTTAGGGGTTATATAGGGGCTATATAGGTAGGGCTTATAGGATTCTCCCAAAATTAGGGGTCCCTTTTGGGGAGTCCCCCTAAAGAGGATTATAGCACATTGGGCAACCCATTTATGGACGACAGCAATAACAAAAATTTGGGGTTCTAATAGTCGAAGTAGGGGTCATGTAGAGATTTTGGAGGGGTTCTAGAGGGATACTGGAAAAGAACATGGAAGCTACTATTAAACCCTAAACCCACAACCCTAATCCCTAAACCCTAAACCCTAATCCCTAAACCCTAAACCCTAAACCCTAATCCCTAAACCCTAATCCCTAAACCCTTAACTTAAGGGCTTGGATCAGTCCAGGCCTCGGATTGCAGCTTCTGGGCCAGCTCCTGAGCCTCCTCGGCCTTCATGGGGCGAGCTGCTAGAAAGTCGAAATTGCTTGGCCGGCATATGTCTCCCTCAAATCCCAACTACCTAGCTCTGAACAAACCCTGAGCCCCGCGCCCCAAATCCTGAACCCGTTTTCGTCGAGCCTTCCTCGTCGCCTCCTCAGCTTGATGCTGGGCTGCGCTGAGCGCATCGCGGTGCTCAACCTTCAGAGACTCGTTGGTTGCACTGTATGACTCTGGAACATGATTTGTGACAATGCTTGTGTTGATGGCTGTTGGATCGAGTGTCACGGCACATTGCACACAAGAGCCATCTCCCGCACAAAAGCCACGAAGTTCCAGGTCAATCTCCTAGGACTCCGCCGATCTTGCTAGTCTCACGTCCCTGTGGGAAGGGTTCGCAGAGGATGTCAAGCACATGCCAGAACTCTTACCGTAGCTGAACACCGTCAAGCACACACTCAACAAAATGCAAGCCCTAAGAAAAAATCCTACATAACCCCTAATATACTATATAGTAGTTTCCATTTTCTTTTCCATTATCCCCATATAACCTCAATATATACCCTATAATCCGTATAAAGCCTGAAAACTCTGAGGTATCCAAAAAATCAGACCGAAAAGGAATCCTTTCTTGAGGTGCTGGCACCGCAGTTGGCAAAGATACCCATATGTATGCTGTAAGCTTGAAACCATGGACCCCTAGTAAAGTATGGGCCCTTAGCCCTGGGATCCCTATATACCTACTATATTAATATACTCCATCTGTACCCTATGGGTCCCTAGAATCCCCCTAAAAGGCCTGAGGGCCCACATTAGGCGCCCATACTTCTACCTCAGATATGCAATCTGTTGGGGCGATCTCCTGTGTTAAAACTGCTTTTGCTCGCAGTCCAGCAGGCCTCATGAGCTAAAGTCTGAAATCCTAGATTCCCCCTTTAGTAAGCCCTATAATAGTCCCCTATGTGATCCCCTAGATACCCCCCCTTTTAAGGAGTGTAGACTATAGCTCTCATGCCCACAGCATCATCTTCTTTCCGCGCCTGGGTGTCGAAGCTCCCACGACGGCACCGCTGTAATTCTTCCTGTCCAAGTACAGGGAGTATATACTCTATAGGTGTTGTATAAGGAGTATACAAAGGACTATTATATATAGTTCATATAGAGAAAGAAATGCGCCGAAGTACGGGGAGGGGCATACAAAGAACACAGTGGACTTGTAACCTGAGTCAAAAAAAACTGTCCGAGGAGTCGGAATCCTGAATACTGCTACTTTCTGGTTCTCTACTAGGGAATCAGAGAATGTAATCCTTATATAACCCGTATATAATATATTCCCATGTTACTACTAGGAACCAGTAGGGTTAGTGATGGCAAGCACAGCGACACGAACCAGCTCGCGACTCCACCGAGAGCCCATGCAGGAAAATATTATATGGGGGGTGACACAGGGGCTATATAGCATTGGAAAGGGGACCTATGGGGATTATGTAGCGAGTATGTTCCCGTATTCCCTACATGCAATATAGCTTATTCTGCGCAACCCCAGTTTCCACTTCATTGTCCATTCTCTTTTCCGTTTGATTCTCCATTCTTACCCATATGCAGAAAGCCCTGAATAACATTGTAGCTTCCTTTTCATGTTCCCTTTGACTGTTCCATTGGATCGTTCATTTGATTCTCCATTATTTGGAGTATGAAGAGTGAGCCATTTGCAGAGGCCTGCAGGGACTCTACGCGCTGCTCCAGGGCAGATGTAGCTTCCCGCCACTCCTGCAAAGCGATTGATGATTTGTGGTTGACAATGCACCTTGCAGTCCTTCTTGGGTAGGAGTAGATAGAACTGAGGGCGTTTAGGAAATAGTGTCGTGCAGGCTTCCCAGCTTCTATCTACCTACGGATGACTCTAGGGATCTCTAGGGTTTGAGTATTTTGGGGTTGCTCTGGCTGCAGATTCTACAGGCGTGACCTAATTGCAAATGAAAGGCTACCATGTCGAAGCGGAGTCAAACAGGGCAATAACTGCTTAGAAGCTGGCAGTGGCAAGATCAACAACAGCTTTCCTTTTCAGCATCAGCCTGGCAATGTACTCTTCCAGCCATAAGGCGCAAGACTCCAGTCGCGGAGAGCTTCAAATCACTTCTTCAGCTGGAGCATGCTATACCTGACGTGACAACGGCAAGCCTGTTTTGAAGTGCAGGGGGGCTGAGCAGCCAACAGGCCAGCAGGCTAGCACAACAAGTATGTAGCCGAGCCCCGAACGCCGTGAACGATCCGATGTTTCCCAGTGTAGCCAGAAGCATTACAAATCCCCAAACCTGAGCTCTTCACTTACATCTCAACAGGCTATCATGCCTTGGCTCTTGACAAAATCCGGCTACTTGCAGAACTCTAGGTTCAAGTGTCCTGCGAGTTAAGGGTCGAGGTTGCATACAACTGCACAAGCTGTCAGGAAAATCACAGCCATGAACCGCAGGCAGAACTGCCAAGTGCCGAGCATCCTGTCTTATGTGCAGCTCAGGAAACTCCAGCTGGAAGCTCTTCCAAGCCGACAGCTAAAGAGATTACGATGGCTGTGGCCTAGCTGCACAGATTCTGGAAAAAGAAAGGTGAGTAAACAGTCTTCGCGCCTTGTTGAAATTGCCGGCGAAAGTCGTGTAAGTTGCCTTACGGCGAGCACAAATGGTTCCCCTGCAAGCCCCATCGAACAAACTTTCCATGAGTTCAGAGAAGCCATAACATTTGCATCCAAGGACTGACAGAGATTGGACCATAGAGTACTGCGTCACGTTGTACGCACTTGCGAAGACGCCCAGGAGCAGCCTCTGACATGGAAACGGACATGCGGGTCACGGAGCTAATCTCTTCTCATGATCATGAAGCTCATACATGGTGTTCTTACTCATGGTAAGCAGCAAGTGACTAAATGTCAAGTGAGCATCTCTTTAGCAGGCAAGCAACCCCAAACCGAGCACCCCCGGAGCAAGGTCGTAGACCTTGCAGTGCACCTGATCTGTGCTCAAACTTCTCATCTCACCGATGCAGATTGGAGAGAAACAATTGCCTCTTCAGCCACCTTAAGCTTCAAGAACGAAGTGGAAAGACCGAACGGCTGAGCACAGATGAGAACGACATGACTTTGGCATCATTCATGGTAGGATTTGCCTCGAAATCCGTCATGGACGGCTGCCCCGGCCAGCTGGGATGGGACAGCGTGAAACTGGGCACCAACCTGCAGCAACAGTGAGCATTCATCATGTCAGCTGCGACACGTTTAGTGCAATGCTAGCCAGGTGAATTGAAATGTTCAGATACTTGCTCTTGAGTCTCCAAGCAACAATATGAGAAAAGCAGGTAGCCCCATATAAAATGTCATATCCTCAGTTGTCAAGCAGGCTGCAATCCTGGGCATCCCCCTTTGGCTCCCAGGTCACTGGTCAGGTACAAGCATCGGTGGAATTCAGCTGCATGGACTTCCCCAACTCACTGGCAAGGACCATGTTCAGAGCCCCCGCAAAGATAGAGATCACGCACACGATCACCTCAGCTCATAGCTTGCCTATGCCACTCATTGAATGCAAGTACTAGCACAGCAATGGACCCAGCATGAAGAAACTGACAAGACGTTAGGACTGTTGAATACCTGCACATCCGGTTTGCTGAGGTCCTCACTCCAATCAGAAGAGTGTCGGAGCTGTGCGTCTTGCCCTTTTGGGCCTCCCAAGTTCAAAAGCCTAAAAGCCTTCCAAGCCCTGCCTGGGCGACTTCAATGACGTCAGCCAGAGTCAGTTGCAGGCAGGAGCAGCACGGCAACACTCATGAGCAACGCCGTTGACAACCCTGTGAGCAAGCAAGGCCGTGACAACAACGGTGACCTGCTAGTTTCTCGCGGAACTATCACGTCTCGCCCCGCCTGTGACTGCGCCACGGTGGCCAGGGCAGCGCACGCCACCCCGGCCAGCATGCAAAGAAGTTCCTGGGCTGCGTGCAACGGCAAATAAACTGCGACCCCACTAGCGGCATTGAGTGTTCCGTGGTGCTTGCGATTTGTTTCGCCAAAAGTGTTCACGCTGCATCCAACGCTATTTGATGTTGATGGGATTGCGGCTGAGTGACATAACTAGAAACCCTTCAATCTGTGTTTCAGATCGAAACCATTCAGCCCATAAACAACCTGCAAGAGTATTTCTGCCCGAAGCAAGAATTTGAGCCCGACCTAAAACCCTGCAAAAACCATGAAAGGAATTCTGCCTGCCTGTAGTGGCTAGCATTGCAAAAGCAATATCTTGGCAAACAATCGCTGAACACATACCATGGAACACCTGTAACTTTCAGCTTCAAAGGCAGAAACCTGGGCTTCGTCGTTCGGAATAGCACATGTAACTGTATTAACCTTAAATCCTAACCCTTTGCTACACCCTAAGCCTACAAGCCTACAGACCGTAAACCCCAAAGCCTAGCCCTAAACCTTACACCGAGCAACCCATCTGCGAAAGTGGCGTTGGAAACGAATTCTTAATTACAGAAAAGATGGCTGCGGCCATTGCCGTACGACGGAGAATTACACGCGAGCTTTTTCTTTGAAAAGAACTAACATCCTAGGTCAGTCCGTTAGTCTAGTCCGAGCTAGGGTTGCAGGTATTCCGGGTTATCAGCAGAACCAGGCGCTCAGAGAGTCTCTAGGTTCCTCCTTTTTCCAACCTTTTCCAACTTTCTCTCCACCTGTCCTTTCTCAAGATTTTTCAAGCACAGGGACCTCGCTCTGGTGCGAATTGCCTGCAAAGGCATTGTCACGCTGTCTGCACATGACCGCAAACCCGATCTCAAACTCAAAGAGACTCTTGACCTTGCACTCCGCTGCATCACATCAATGTAATCCTAGCTGTGACTGTGCACCCTGTCTTCGGCCTTTTTCGCTGGAATTGCCAGGACGTGCAAGCGCTTGCACGACAGCGGTGGCAATCGGGAGGCAAGATCGAATGATCAAGTTCATGGACAGTGGTAGGAACCTGCAAAGAGCACACGTTCAGCGTCACCAAGAACATTCTTACAACTGGGTCATGCTCGACAACTGTCACTCTCTGTGCTAGGCAAGAAAAGAATCAATTCGGTGTCTCGTCAACTAAGATGCCAGCTGAAAGCTGAAATTGTTGAGTCCTGGGCTCCCAGATTGTTTCAGGTGACCGGTGCTTTGAACAGAAGCAGCGCCGTTCCCAGACACAACAGAAAAATGCACTTTGATGTCTGAAAGAGTCCGATGTTGGCTGCAAAAGCAGCAGAGAACAGCACGATCCGGTATACGTCGCTCATCTTTGTCACCGGCTTCGGTCGGTACGGCCTTGCACGTTCACCTACCCCATCCCTGCAACAGTGAACCTCACAAGGCAATTTACACATGCGCAACCCTTAGAGATACAGGCATGTGTTTTTTCAGACATGCAGGTTGTTGCAATTTTAGGGCTGCGTTCATCAAGATCCATTCTACGTACTGATTTCCCCTGCACTTCAAAGGCATAGTGGCTCAATTCTAGATACCACATGAGACCACGCTTTGAAGCAAAGAAGCGGAGTGCCTAACGTTGCAAATCATGACCGATGCAGACCGACGCCGTGATGATTTGGCATGATCTGACTGATGCCCCTTCACATGCGCATGACTTCCCCAAAGCGCAGCCCAGCTAAGACGAGGTCCAAGGCGTCATCCAGGAGATGACAAAAGCAGATCCAAAGAGCACAAAGCAGATCAGCTGGTGTGAGGCCTTACACTCTTCCCCACCGAAGCACACTGGCTTTTGCGTTGGCTTCTCCACTCATTCTACCATTCTGCCATGCCACCCCCATGTAAGCTGCAATAAGCTGCAGCTGAGGCACAGTCATCAGGAAGGCCCCAGGCAGGCCGTGCAGCCCGAGTTCCTCCGAGACAACTGCACTCGAGATGATGATCTTCGCCAGGAGGAGCATGCCTTCGGGGAAGTCGACTGGGAAAAGCAGTTTTGGCCAACACAACTGAATCTTCCCTAGCTTTCAAGCTTCAGCTGCAAGGTTTCGGATTAAGAGCATATGGTAGTTTCCCAAAATAGGGGGACCCAAACATGGACCCCAATATACTATGATCCTTATTATGGCCCTAAACCCTAAAGCTTAAACCCTAAAGCCCTGAACCCCATGGAACCCCTAAAGGGTACCCCTAATGATGGGAAACCAACCACATCTCTCCTGCGGCATGCTATGGCTCCATAACTCCTGCTTGCCCTTGAAGCTCAACATTAGGGATTAGGATTTAGGATTTAGGGTTTAGGGTTTAGGGTTTATAGGGTTTAGGGATTAGGGTTTGGGGTAAGGTCAACCCTAACCCCGCAGTGGTATTACCCTAAGGGTCCAAGGACCCAAATAAGAAGGTTTTAGGGCCCAAATACTACAACAGTAATGGTATTTGGGCCCCTAATACCCTATTATTTGGGTCCATGGACCCTAAACCCTGAACCCTAAAGCCCTAATTAAACCCCTTTAAAGGGGACCCTATTATTTGGGTATACTCTGTGACCCTGCTTTGGCTTTGCGTATGGTTACGGCTACGGATTCCATACACGTCTCAATCCCTGCTTCCAAGCTTGGAGTGCGCGGGTTGCTGAAGATGTCTTGCTACGTTTGCGGCCGTTTGCATTCCATGCCGAACCTGCGGGAAAGATCTACAAGCTGATAAAGTTGAAGGCAAGATTGGAAGGCTATGCACTTGAAAGTGACATCCACTAAGCTCTTTCTGCCAGCAAAGCACATGAACTGCTGTTTTGGCTTAGATTTTGTGAGCCGGAGCATGCAACATGTGCAACATGTTGACCCTGCCTGTTTGAGCGCCGAAGTACACTGCCAGCTGCGCGGAGGTCCGCAGCGACTCTACTTGACGACCTTTGCTACAGGTGCTGGCATCCTTATCCCGCATCGTGTAAGCGAGAATGTGCGGTGCCAGGGCTGCCAACTGAGCCTGTGGCATGGTATACCAATACAAAGGGCAGCGAGAGGGATGCAGACCTCTGGCAAGAGCTCTGACCGCATTGGATCTTCCATCAAATGTCCATACTTGTGGCAGGAGCCAGAGGCAAGTCTTTCTACAGGCCAGGACCGTGTCAAGCACTGGACCCGCCTCCTTGAACATCCTTGAGGATGCCTCGAGCGCAACGGGCTCAACACAGGAAAACCCGCAAAGTGCCAGCAGAGTTTCAGCATGTTTCAGTAATAGCAACGTTCACTTCGGAGTGACTAGCAGCGACTAGTAGCCACTAGCAGCCAAGTGCACCCTCACGAATCAGAGGTAAGAACCTCTGAGAAGCTATCCAGATTATGGCCCCCTTTGCAGGCAGTTTTTGGGAAGCAGAAGAGATACTGCATTTTGAAGAGATATTCTGGTAAAAGCCTCATGCCAACAACACCCCACCTGTCGCAAGTCGTAAAAAGCGCCCAGTGGCAAGCTCTGCTGCAGGAACATTGGTCTCTGCACTGCGCCTGACAGCCAGAAAGATCATGGAAGAATTTGTGCAGGCATGGGGCTGGGCTTAAGGGATCCAGTCGCAAAACGGAAAAAGGAAAAGAAAACTGGAAAGTGAGATGCAGACTGGTTTATGATGGTAGTGTTTCAACCGTTTTGGAGCCCCACTGCGGTCTCAGGGTGTCGATTCCAGTTTTTCTGGGGGCTTCTTCCATACATAGCCAGACAGCCAGCAGTTGGACCGGGAAGCCTCGTCCAGTTGAGCAGAACGGCCAGCGTCGCCTAGAAGAATGGAGTGAAGCGATGCTTTGGGGTTTAGGGTTTTAGGGTTTAGGGTTTAGGGTTGGGATTGACCCCATATGTACTATAGTCTAAACGGCAGTTTCACTGCTAGCTCGACGCGTAGTATAACCAATGAACGGAGCCAAATACACTTCTTCTTCTTCTTACTACTACTACTACTACTACTACGACGACGACGACGACGACGACGACGACTGCCACTGCCACTGCCACTGCCACTGCCACTGCCGCTGCCGCTGCCACTGCCGCTGCCGCTGCCGCTGCGGCTGCTGCTGCTGCTGCTGCTGCTGCTGCTGCTGCTTTGATGCAGGTTGCTATTACTATCACTATGGAGGTTTAGGGTGCCAAGATGGTCCTCCTGAGAACACCCTGAGCCACA